GTAACTTACAATGTTAAATATATGTCCACTCACTGCTTTGCCAACATGACAGTTGTCCTCCTCAGTGTCATGGTCGCTGTCCTCACTCTTCTTCTCCTCTCTGGACAGCACATCTCCGTCGCCGTAGTCTCCTTTGGCATAGCTGTGGACGTGCAGGACGTCTGCGGGACTCAGCGTCCTCTGAAACACTTTGCTGCAGCTGTTGTCCAGGGGAGGCTCCTCGCTTCCAGCGGTCTCCTCAGCGCCCAGAGAAAGCACCTGGTTCTCAGTGGGCTCGGGAGGAAAGAGCTCCATAGCCACCACGCAGTTCTTCTCTTTTTTCAGCGGACTTCGTCTGTTTGAAGTTTTCTTGGCGTTGGCTTTGGACTGAGCTTTAGGCTGGGGTTTGGTCCCTTTCTCCTTCTTCACCTCCTTGACTTTCACTGTGTCTGGAAGAGATTCATTGAGATACACAGACAGGACATGGGTTCAGTGTGCCACAGAGTCTTTATTAATCTTCACTTTATGTCACATACTGACCTAAAATAAATGTCAACGTTTTAGCCCAAAATCAACTCTGAGCCTTTTGTGAGCTCGTCTGTGTTTCATGTTCCTCTAAACATTCAGTCCATTTATACTGAACCATCAAAGCGTAGGTACTTTAGTGCGCTGGACAGGTAGCATGTGACCACATTCATGTGACTTTTGATATGCAGCTACTACTTCAGCTGCATGTAGTTCGACCTTTAAAGGACTTTCATGGATTCTGTGGGGCTAAATCAGTGATGAGTCGGTCATTACATTAAAAAAAGCTTCAGACCATCAGGCGCATCAATCACTTGAGTGTTGATTTGTGTAAAACTATCTGTTTTCTCTATTTTATTTGCAATGCATCAAAGCATGCCCGACTCGGCAAAGAAAACAAATAACAAAAAAACCAACAAAAAGAAATCTTGCTCCGTGTGAAGCAATGTTCCCTCTGAGCTGCACACGTGCGCACTGCTGGCACGTCTCTGCACACACACAAAAAAAAAATCTAACCTGAATTAAAATGAAAACTTCAACGATTCTGTTTTGCAGTGTGAGTCAGTGACTGGCTGCTCCCGTATGGGATCAGAACGATGCCACGATCCCAAAGTCCAGCCAATGATGCGATTCACATTCGTATATACGCAGCTAATCAACGTTGACAGGCTCTGACAGCGTCCTTATGTGCCGACACCGGTGTTTTAGCAAAGCGGCTGATGAGGAGTGAAGCCACGTTAATGACAACGTGTACAACCACTGGCGATGTGAGCAGGACAGACTGAACAACTGATGGGAAAAGTGTGGACTTTATACCAGTTTTTAAATTGTGTTGATCGTAAAACCAGAGTTATGATAAAATATCTGCAATGTTTGTTCTTCTTCCTGAATACTGTCGTTGTTTATATTTACTGCGGGAAGAAACGGGAAAAAC